GGCACTTCTGGTTTCTTTGGTAACCTGGTTGTGTCAGCAGCAGGTCCGTGGATGGAACATCTGGTACAACTTTGGGCTCGGAGGACGACACAGACTCATCTGACCGGTGGCTATTACCTTTGGATGGTTCTGGAACTCCACTCTTATCAGGCTCTTTGGAAATCACGAGAGCTGGAGGTGGACGTATGAACCCCTCATCTGTTACGGTTCCTCTATCACGCATCTGATGGATATGTCGTCGCCATAGCTGATCATCTACATTTATAGTGCATTGAAGCTGCCCAAACTTGGATTGGACGGTACCAAATCTCCATCGTCTATCACCTTGGCGATAATTTCTTATTGCCACTCTTATCTGCTACTCTAAATCCTCGGTCTGAAAACTCGTAAAACTATTCTTGTTCGAATTTCTCTCTTCAGCATTAGCATTGCAGGGCTCTGTAGAGTAGTTAAATTCGGAGCTTTTCTATATTGCAACAAAAATGTACTGTGTTTTTGTCTCAAAGTTCCTGGATAATTTTGCATTGTTCTTTAAGATTGTTTTACTGTAAACACATACCGTTCAGCCCGACCCTTTAAAGGGAGCTGTTGTTTTGTGTTTGACTCCGTTACTCTGTAAAAATATTTTAAACTCATGTGAAGTGAATTGTGGCCCGTTATCACTCACTAACCATATTGTTAATCCGAATCGTGCAAAAAAATCCCATAAACATTCTATTGTTTTGAAAGTCGAGTTTGATTTCATTGGATAGGCTTCTAACCATTTTGAGTGAGCATCGATGATTATCTAAAACATATGCTCAAAAATAGGTCCTGCATAATCTATGGGAATACGTTCCATTTGAGCGCTCGGATACTCCCAGTGATGAACTTTTACCTTAGGAGGATCCATTCTATGTTTTCCACATTCAGAACAGTTTTGGAAGTATTTTCGATATCTTTATCTATACCATTCCAAAATACGTAAGACCTAGCAATTACTTTCATCTTTACAGTCCCTAAATGTCCGTGGTGTAACTCTTTCAAAACATTATCACGGTATCGTTTTGGAATAGAAACGCGTTGACCATACGTTATACAGCCATCTTGGAGACTGTACTCCATCTCCCTTCCTTTCAATTCCCCGCCGCTTTGAAGTATTCTTAGCTCAGGACTGAGTTCATCATCAATTTCAGTTTCTTTAGCCAAATCTCCGGCCGTGAATGGAAGAGTTTCAATCTGCTGTAATTGAAAAATAGTTACATCATCCTGAACAGATAGTTGTTCTGAGTTCGTCCGTAATCGTAATAGAAAGTCAGCATTTCCATGCTCGTTTGTTTTACGGTAAATAATATCGAATTGGGAGGACTGTAAATCCAAAGTGTAATGTAGGAGTCTTGTCGTTGCCAAAATTGGCATGCTTTTCTTTGAAGCGAAAATTGTAACAAGAGGTTTATGATCTGTAATTCATGTAAATTTCCTGCCTTTTAAGTACAGAAATTTTTTTTATTACCCAAATGATTGATAAAGCTTCTTTATCGGTTTGAGAATACTTTTTCTCTGTTTCAGTCAATGTTCTAGAAGCATATGCAATTAGCCTTTCTGTTCCATCAGGAAGTTTGTGAGAAAGTACCGCACCTAACCCCACTGGGTGATGCATCAGTTGCTAATGTTAAGAGTAATTTTAGATCATAATGCATCAAAACTTTTTGTGAACACAATTCTTTTTTAATGTTTAGAAAAGTCTCCTGATAAACCTTCGTCCACACCCATTTTGAGTTTTTCTTAGTTAATTGATATAAGAGATTTGCGATTGTCGCAAGTTTAGGGCAAACTTTTCCATAAAAATTAACCAATCAGAAAAAGCTTTGAATTTCCTGGACATTTCTGGGTCTTCGGAGCTTTTGCAATCGCTGATATTTTTTCATCAGTTTTATGTAAACCATTAGCATCAATTTTATGACCTAAAAATTTTATCTAATCCTGAAAAAATTTACTTTTCTCTAAATTTAATTTCAGTCCATGAGTTTTACATTTCTCGAAGAACATTTTTAAAGTATTTAAATGTGCCTCATGATCAGACCCTGTTATTCGCGCCTCATCCATGAAGACCTTACACCCTTCTATTCCGTGGAATAGTCCGTCTACGTAACGTTTCCAGATTGCCGGCGCTGCATCTAGCCCGAACATTAATCTTTTACACTTATATAATCCTTTCTGTGTGTTTATTGTTCGCAATTTTTGAGTCTCCGGAAGTACTTTCATTTGTAAATAAGAATGTTTAAAATCAATTTTTGAAAAATGCTTTCCCCCGCGCAAACATGAAAATATTTCCTCTATGGTCGGCAAAGAGTGTTGATGCGTAACAATATTTGGGTTTACTGTCACCGAGTAGTCGGCACACAGTCGTATAGAGCCGTCCGGCTTAACTACTGGTACTACCGGTGTTGCCCATTCCGAAGTTTCATTTCCAACCTTTTCGATTATGCTCTCTTTTTCCAAGCGATCAATTCTTCTCTATTCGGCCTTAAGCAATGACACATCCTAGCTGACAAATTTTGGTGAAACATTTGGCTTCAATTCAAGTTGAACCTCATAATTTTTTATCTCGTCTAATTTTTCGTCGAAATTCTCTTTATATATTGTTCCAATAATTTATTTAAACTTCTCTTTTGAGAGAATTTTAACTTTATTGAGGACCAATCTAAATTTATCTCTGAAGCCCATTCTTGACCAAATATTGTATCCAGGTTTTCTTTAACAATGTAAAGATTTAAGATTTATTTTAACCTTTATGTTCTACCTTAACTGTACTAAATCCTAAAGGTGTCAGTTTTTCTCCATTATATGTTTTAAATACCAGACCGTATTTTTAATTTTCTTTTTCGAAATTTGCCGGAAATTTTTTAAACTCTTTACCGATACTGCACCCCCTGTTTCCAGTTCCATAGTTACCGGTTTTCCTTCTATGTTCACTTGGACCGTCATAGGCGGTTTCCTATTTTTCACCTCACTGGAATTTATGCTGTTTATACTGTTTATACTATGCTGTTTATATTATAGGAACTGTGTTTTCATTTCCTTCATCTAATTGTTTTTGTTTCGCTTTCATTCTTTCAGCGTTTTTAGCGTAGTAGCATGCCCTTTCAATGTGCCCGATTTTCTTACAAAATCTGCAGATACTTAATTTACAAGAATTTCTATCATGGTCAGTCCCCTTACATAGGAACACATTTTGCCTTTAGCACTCTTAACTGCGAAGTTTCGTTTTTAAAACTTTCGTTTTGGAGCGACTGACTTAGATTTACCTTTATTCCTGGCACTAAATTCCTTAATTCTACTGGATCCCATTCATTGCATTTGCAATTTTAACGCTTTTTTTCCATTGCAAAACTATTAAAGTGTCATCCAACTGATATTATCCTGCTCAAAGGTTCTATCCAGAATTGCCCTATCTCTTAGCCACTAACTACAATCGTATTTAACATATCGATCGTAAAGCGGGTATGGCAAGTGACCTTAACTCTCCATATCACGCTAACTGTTTCCTACGTGCTGCTTTCGCTTAAAATGCACGTTCTGCTAGGAATTAAGGGCTTAGGATTTAAATGATTTCTCACTGTTGTTTTTAACACTTCATAATCTTTATCGGAAGGATTATCAGGAGCCAGCAAGTTTTTAAGACTATACATTTTGCCGGGCAAACTAGAAGTCAGTACTTTTCCCCGCTTGTCCTATGAAACATTTTATATATCTAAATAACTTTCGAATCTCTGTAGAAACGAATCAAACTGTTCTTTGTGTTCATTATATTTTTCAAACTGAACCGAAAGCATCGAATTGTCCATTTGGAGAGTAATAACTGAAGTAAGTCTCCATTAGAGCTCTATTTGCGCTATTTAACTCAGTACAATTTGCTCCATGATCTCCTGAAGGGAAAATGATAATAAAAGCTTTCCCTTGAGCAGTCTTCGGGAAATCTCTTAATTGCTATTGCATTACGATTATTACCAAAAATCCTCCTCTTCCAGCTACCGTATCCTTTTGGGTAATTGTTTAACAGTCTACATGACTTTATTATATGTACAAAATATATCATCACTCGCATACACACTTATATCTACAGCTACTTTCATAACTACAGCTACTCGCATTCCAGTCATTTTCTTATTACTGCGCGCTTCGATGCGTGGCGCTGTGCCAGCCGATTTTGATATACCACATCGATAGTTCTCGATGTACCACAGAGTATGTTGTCAACTTTAACATGTGATAAACAATTAAGCATTATTTTCATTAGGATCCAAACAGAATTTGAAGTAAACGAAAAGAACTGGAAGTGAACAGGTTGTATTGATATACTGATTTTTATGATTATAAATACTATAAAGGGAATTTCCTCTTGAACTTCTGGCACAACCATTAATCTGATACAAGTAGTCAGAAGATAAGTTAAAATATATATATTTTTTACTTGAAAGTAAAAAATGCAAAATTTGCGCATGTTGGCAGCTTCAACATGTGACTAAAATGTTAAACATTATTTTCGTTTGGACCAAAACAGAATTTGACGTCACAAAATGAATAAAAATAAACTGATCAGTAATGAATTAAGAACAGAAACTTTTAGAATAGACTACATCTTTTAGATAATCACAGGGAAGTCTTGCTAGGTCAGGTTAGGTTAAGTTATTTGGATGTAGTAAAGTATACGAGAGAGATTTATTTAAAAGAGGTGCCTTCGTGGCTTACTTTCTAAGAGTAACTGGGTCGTCTTCACGTTACACATAGAGAAAATCATGAAAAATACCCCTGTAACCAACCCGATCCTCCCGTGTTAGAAACCAGGTCGAATTACCGGTATTCGCCTTCTTAAACACTAAATCACTGGAGGGGTAGGAAGTTTTGCTAATCGAAAGGAAAGAAATTAACTTTATGAGACTTTTGCCTTTCGTTTAAATTTGATTAATAAAACTATCATAAGCTACTAAAAACTCCGTAACTGCAGAAAATCTCTGTACCTGGGCATATTCCTACTGCTGGGCTGTCTCTAATGAAATTCAAGCAAGATACATTTAATGGGCCATAAAAAACGTCAGATTCTGAAACTTCTATTTCCAAGCATAGAGGGTGACGAAGGTCCGGATCTTGAAGGATTTCGGGACTGCAGCAGCTTAAAATAGCATCTGTAAAGGAAAAGTAAATTCAAACGAGTTTTGAGAATTGGCAATTATATAAAATTGCTTTAAAATGTTGAATACAAAGAACTTAAAAGACATTTAAATATACTTTGAAAACTAACACCAAATTCGTCATTTAATCCCATAAAGAATAACCTTGACAGTACTAGGTTCGAACGCAGATAGCTGTATAAAAACAGACTATAAATAAATTAGAAACTTGCACCTTAACTTTGGGAAAGGTTAAAAAAAATTAAGTCAAAATATTTTCGATGTACATGCATCTCCGCATTACAAAAGTTTGGTTGAATGAATTCAGTGAATTCAAAAATGGAAAAAATCAAATGGAAAATCAAATGGTACCCCCCCCCCCAAAAAAAAAAAAGAAAAAAAAAAAACTCTAATTTTGAACTTTATACCTGAAGACAAAAAATACGGAAAGTATGTTTGTTTTCACCTAGAAAGCGAAAAAAGTAGTTGCGAAAAATATGACTTTTAACTCTGAAATAACGCTTAGGCTTAAGGTAAATTTGTAAAATAGTTTGGCTGCCTTTTAGAATTCCGTGTTACTGAAGCAAATGCTTCATGAAATAACTGAGACCCGAGCGAAAGTTTATTTAGGCGCATGTATTTCGTATTTAAATTTGTCCGGTATCTATCTATATTTTATGTACTTTGTATTTAAGATCCAAATTTGATCGGAATATCCCTTAGACATTTACCACACCCCCCAAGTAGCGGCCTTTATATTAATGAAATGTAAGCCCAAGCGTCCGTGCGAAAAAGGACAACACTACGGGGCATAGAATCTCGTTGAAGTACCGCCCTGCTATAATGGTGCACGGATGAAAAACCAAAGGGGTCCGGTTATCAAATGAAATAAAATTCCCATACCGCAACTCCTGTTTGTCGAGCTGTGTGGCGGCGGACGACAGGGAGTTAAGTATCCCACCGCTATCCAGAACGTCTCCCGACATGCCTACGATGGACATTATTGGGGCTCATTTCGAAGCGGCACTCATCGAAAAAACAATTCTGCTGTAGTCCATGAGATCCCAGGTCGAATGCTACCGACACCACTGCAAATTCCGCTGGCGGCGTGCAGCTTTGAGAGCCAGTCGGCACAATGGCTTCCGAGACCCCATTCACTAAGTCGCCTATCAATGGTCATTGCAAGCGCAGTTGTCACGGTTACACATCGAATCGTTTATAAGTACGCATCAAGGGCTGTAAGAGCAGATTAGACAATTATTCTCTCCACTCTCTCTGTCGTCGCTCTTTTGTCTACTAAACGAATGACTCATAAGAACCCACAAGTGTAGCAGAATGTTGCCTGAAAACTGAAGTTAATATAATTCATTTTAACGCTTCGATTGACATTTTTAATGGTAGGAATATGTGCGAGGCCCACTCTTATGAAATGCTGATTGTATTGTGAGAAAGGATAAGCAGGTTAATTTAGTTATTCAAATAAAAAAATTTGATAGCGCATTTTAGTTAAAATCACCCCGTATACCTATATGAGTTCCCGCCAAAGGACAATCTAATCGCATTGGCTGCTACGTAGTGACATTGTTTCACCCGCTTACGTCACACGACGAGAGGGATGGCTTTGAAAGACACAGAGGGGATTACAACCCCTTTTCAAATTTGATTCGTGATCAAGAGAACAGCATAGCCACAAGTCTGTTTTTTATGGGTTTTTTTTTTTTTTTTTTTTTTTTTTTTTTGGTGTGTGTGTGTGTTTTAAAATATTTCTTTTCTTGGTCTTAGCAAGACCCACGGCGTTTGTTTTCATTTGAATTTAATTTCAGAACTATAAAATTCATAAAGGTTTTATTCTTTAAGCTTGCAGGTCCATCCCGTACGTTATTGTATAGTTTGACTAATAGCAGACCGCTGTTTATTTTATTTTCATTTTAATTTTAGCTTTACTCGGAGTTGCATTTACATTTTTTTTTATGTGTCATTTTTTGCGGACGCTTCGGGAAATTGGAACAGAGAATTGAAGCTCCGAAAGATTTTTTGGGACAATTCATATTATTTAAAACATTTTTCGTCACACAAGAGCTTCAATTGTCTGTTTCGGCGAAACGCGTAATGGAGTTACATTTGTAGCTTGGCTCGACGTCCAACTGAAATTTCCCTTGAAAAGCCAGGTTGGAAGTCTAATTAGGCTAATTTACCATTTTCCGCTTTATAATTTTTATAATTTTATGTTTTTCATATGTTTTAATTTTGTTTTAACTTGTTCCGTCGATCAGTTTTTTATATGTGTTAACTTTTCACTTATCACATCGATAGGTTTTTACTGTATTTTTTGCCATTCACATGTTTCCAACGATTGATTTTAACAGTTTTTTATATTCTGCATTTTATTTCGCGTGTAAGCTAATTTTTCACCCTTCAATGTTATTACTTTAAAAAATACTGCGTTGAACTATTTCTTGGAGCCACAGCTCCTGGTAACTTTTTGGCGAGCTCACTACAATATTTCTTCCTATTGTTTCATAATTTTTGCAGCATACTGCGCAAAACATTTTAAAGACCAAATAGGTCTTACAGCACAGTACTTATTAGCTTTTCAATTTCAATTATATATATCCATAAAGTAAGAAATTTAGAACTAATAATTCACAAAGACCAAAAACTGAAATTCATAATTTCATAATTAATAAATTTCAAAAAATTTCAACAAAGAATTTAAAAAATTAAAACCAAAATAATTTAAACAAGCAAAACCCCATTCAAAAAAATGAAAGAAAATTTAAAGGAAAATAAAAACAAAAGAGGAATTCAATCAACTTCAATCTTACTTCATCGAGGGGGAGGAATATTGAAATCACCTCCTCCACAATTAAAACCTTGCTTTTCTGTATCCAGAATTAGCCGATGAACCATTTCAATGTATTTTAATTATAATAGTTCAACCAAAAATATTAATCGAGTGAACTATTATATTTAAATAATATTTTCTGGTGAATAAATTATATTCCTCCGTGATGTGTACAGGAAATTGAGGAACACGGTGTTAAGGAAGAAACCTTCTTTGACTTTTCGTGATAATTTAGACGGATTTTCGCACTTTTTTTGCTCAAAATCACTAATCCATTAATTAATTTACTTGCGCGAAAATATATTTTCTTTTCCCTTAAAGATTAAAAAAAAATTAAAACGATATTCGTTTTATGGACTCTTGATAAACGTGACCTTCGAACTTCGAAGCCGGCTTCGAACTTTGGAGACAGATATTTCGCGCATGCGCAGCCGTTTCCCTCTACGTTGGAAAGGAGCCACTCCTGCTGCGGAGAAGTTTTCCTTCTTAACAATCGATGTCCTTTGGCTAGATACACCTGCAAAAGTAGCTAAAAAGTCGCTAAATTCAGAAGGAATTTCGCTAAAAGTAGTAGCTAAAATTTAAAAAAAAATATAATCCATATTCCATAATAGGTTTTGTTACTCGTCATTTTTTAAACTGATCTTCATAAAAATTTAAATAATGTCCCTATTTTTCTGCGGACCATCAAAGAGTTTTCACGGTCCACCAGTGGTCCGTGGACCACCGGTTGGCGACCGCTGGTCTAGGTCATCTTTCAGTGACGCTCTTTCCTGCATAAATATAGCAGGCCACCTTCTGACAAAGGCTAGACGTAGTATCATCATGCATTCATGAACATTTGTAGGTGTTATGCCTCCTTCTGTCAAGAACTGATGTTTAACATTTTGAATATCAAGAGCCATCACTGACTGACAATATTTAACAGCCTCTCAAAAATCATATAGCTTCCAAAGGATGATGCAATCACTTCATCTCATATGATCATCCCAGAAATATTACATCATACTTAGGCTTAGAATGTAAGCTTAAAACTTGCTATGAATGACCCTTTCATCAGTTTCATTAGTGCTCTTATTAATTTACTGTGTTACTATACTCTGTTACTGACTACAAATATACGTAACTTACCTGCAGCTTGACCCGATCTAACAACATCATGGTCAAGTAAGAGGCCGAAATTCATCAAAAGCATGGTCGTATTTGCATCTGGAAGAGTCTTTCGCGAATAAAGTTTGCTTGATAGAAGCCGAACGTTAGGAAGTGGAACTCCGTGCACGGATTCCCGAACTTGGGAAACATCTGAAATGATAAAAGTCAAATATTATAATTTCTGCAGAAAAATACATTATTCTGACTTTAGTATATTCCTGTTTAGAATTTAACATATTTGTTTGAAATATAAACAGCTCATTTACATATATTAATCACCATATCAGATATGAAAGCGTAATCCATTAGATGCACTAATGTTTGTGAAAAATGCAGCATCATGAAGGAATTGTCGGAAATGAATGAAATTTATTTCGCATATTACTGATAGTGGCACAAATAAAAGGTCACATTTACAAGACACACACACACACAAAAAATAAATAAATAAATAAATAAATAATAAATAAAAATAAAAAAATAAAGAATGTCGGAAATCAGTACTTTGTAAGTCCGCCACGCTGTACTTTATATGAGAGCCTGTACACCGATGGCATTAAATCCTACTGGTTCTGAATGCAATCCTGGGTGACATTCCATATGGCTTCGGCTTAACGCCATTCACACGAACAACTGCTTCGGACAATTTTTCTGCCTCGCTTACTATTGAAAGAAAGACGTGCGCATTTTTCCTTCCTTTCCAAAAAAACTGCAAGTTGTTCGTTTTCACCCAATTAGCTATCAGCTTGTTTGTAGTGGGGAACCGCTTCAAACCCTTTGTTAAGCCCAAAGCGATCTATGGTGATTGACTGTTGTGACAAAGCAGAAAAATTGTTCCAAACAGTTGTTCTTTTGAAAGAAACCGACGTGTGATAGAAGCTTTTGTGTGTGTGCCTCACTAGCTGTTTGAGTGAGTCGCCGACCGATAAAATCCCAAACATGCTTAGTTGGCCACATATCCGGGGAATAAGTAGGCCATGGAAGAAGCGAAATCTGTTGTGCACTAAAGAAGACTTGTGCAGTCTGAGAATCATGTGCAAGCGCATTATCCTACTCAACACGGCACCCAGAATGCGTCGAAACATGGGGAGGACTTCTGGCTCCAGAGCTTCCCTTATGTAGCGATCACTGTTGAGATTGCCCTCAATCTGCACTAGATTGCGGTCGACGATTATACCCAGTAGCTCCCCACACCATGATGCCAGGCGCTTGTGCAGTATGATGCTGGATAACAAACTGTGGAAGCAGACTTTCCCCCTCGTATCAAAATCTACGTTTATTTAATTGGTAAAACAGCTGATTAGAAATGAAAATATTGAAGATTGTTTTCCTCGGTGTTAAAGAAACACAATTCAGAAATTATTAGAAAAATTTTAAATCTTAACTTTAAATTCAAATAGTCATAATCTCACCCAACGGATATTTCTCTTCTTAGTTATTTACACGTTAATTTGACAGTTATTCCTTGCTTATTTTCGCATAAAATTTACTATTTTACACTGCTTTAAAATGCTAAACGTCAGAATCGTAAAAACAGTCAGATGAATTACCGTCCCGTCTTAAATACTGACTACAGAATTCATAGACTCATAGTGAAGCTTAGAAATAAAACTTATTTATTTACATGTTAATTTGACAGTTATACAAAACTGAGAAAATATAGCAGAATCAAATCACGGCAGTTTGCGAGAAATTCAGAACAAGACATTCAAGGCAAATAAAAATGTGAAATAAAATTAGCATGCGCCTAAATAAGCCTTGGGGTGGCTCTAAGTTTTAGCGAAGCAAATGCGACTTACCGAAAATAAAACCGCTGAATCAATTGGACAGCAGAGAGTCGTAGCAGAGAAACGGGCAGCAAGACTGCCAAAACCTCTGTTACAAATTCAAGAAACTATACTTTTTATGCATTTATAGTACATTAACTAATTTTCATTCTGGTAGAAGTTGACGAAAGTAGAAGTTATAGTAAAACCAAAATTATAAGATAACTGAGTTACTTAATATAAAAATCTTACAAAATTACCAACCAATAGCATCAATGAAAATTATACACTTTATATATCTTAATGTAAGTGTCTTTTCACTATTCACTAAAAAATGGTTATCATCAAGAATGGAAAAGGTAATATAAGTTTAAAACATTTATAGATAAATTTATCATTCGAAACGATACTCAAATATTCTTGGTAGCTATATATTAAAAACATGTGCTTTATGATGCATGCCGCCAAACAGAAACAACAAGAGAAATTATTTATTGAGATGATGAATCTTGATTATGACAGGTACTACTTTGTTATTAATAAAAAAACTCTATATGTGGATATATATAAACTCTACATACAAAAATGGGAAACTACAGAATGAGGAAAACTCCCTTACGACCAATCGCAACTTCTGAAGTAAAAAAAAAATAAATAAATAAAATAAATATTTATATTGTACAAAAATGTTTCCTTACCATCTGCGTAATGAGCTTTCTGGTGTCTCAAAAATGATGCACCGTACATTCCCCAATGTGGGTTGATAAGATTGTTGCAACTTCCATCAATACTTCGATAACGGCTGTTTGGCTCACAGTGTGTTGGAGGCAGTATTACATTTTTGCATTCATCTGGTATTACATCTAGACTGACGCTGCAATAAAGGAATATGCACACACATACACTTCAGGTTTTAAGTATTTAATAATTAAAATTATGAACCCAAGAAAGTTATCAGAACTACCTTGTATCAAAGCACAGAGTTTGGGGAATCTTTCAAACATATACTTTACCTGTATTAATCAAATTCTTACAAGTAGTGTATGTTCATTTCAATTATAATTAAAACTTTCCTGTTGAGAGTCGTTTGTTTACCATTTTTATCGCAAATATATCAATGAAATTTGTAATATAGATTATTTAGACTATAGTGACAAAAAGAAAAAAAATTAATAACTAAAAATTAGTTCAAATGTTTTATATTTAGGGGCTCTTTTGACAAAAATGTTTAACAAAAATAGAATTTACTATATTTTAGGACAAAATGCAAAGGCAAAAGTATCAGATACTGTTACAATTTTTGTACGAAATGCAATTGCCTTCATATGCAAAACAAAGGCGAATTGGGTCATAGCTTTTGTTCAAAATGCACGCTTTGTGCATCTATGATATGTTGGAGGCGTTAGGCAGAGAGACCAAACGTTGCATGAAGCGATTTCAGAGAAATATCATTGCCATGCAACATTATGCCGGCTTTCAACGTAAGCAGAATATTAATGTTTTAGGATTCCGCGCAACCAGAAATGACACGGATAAAGAATGGAATGCTTCCAGAAAACTTATTGAAATTATCGCCAAAGTTGGCAAGACACAATTCCTTTACTTACAGGCCAACGAACTCAATTGTGCATGAAAACTGTTATCTCTAAACATCCTCGCTCCTGCAAGGCGGGAATTACTTATCGTGAAAGAAACTAAAATTACGTTTACTTGCAATGAATACCTTACAAAAACCTTAGGAGTTAGTTCGTCAAAACTAATGGTGCCAGAATAAAAAGTGAAGGTAAATCCTCACTACACAGTAGGGTGGACAGAAAAAATGCTTTCTGTTTTAAATTTTTTATCGCTGTACCCTATAAATGCTGCCTATCGCCTAACTAAGCAAAATGAAAAAAAAAAAAAAAAAAAAAAAAAAAAAAAATTAAAATCAAATCTTACCTTCCGCTCCTTCGTGCATCGTACTCAGATTTTGAGAGGTGGTGAAACGTTTATGTTTTCTTCAGTTTTATAGTTACTAAACTCATTACTATCGAAATGCAAATGTCCTAATGTAAGTTTTAAGGCATGAGGAAGTAGAAAAAAAATTAAAATCCTGTAATTTCAAATTACTTATTGTTTGCACAAAAAGCTCAAGAAACACAATTTTTTTTTGTAAAAATATCAATATTTCATAATATACGATGATTTTACTTTTCTTTTTTGAATACAGTTATTATTTTTAGTTTTGCTATTCAAAAGAGTGCACCCTAACGTTAGTCTTTTTTAAATATCCTGGCACAATACATCTCGTTAGGAGGATAATCCTAATCAAGCGATCCCTTGCGTCAGCGCCACACACGTGTTTAGAAGCTTCAGTCACAAGTTTGACATGGTTACAGCCGAAAACATCGCGGACGAAAACCACGCAAGGCGAAAACGTCATGCTGCAAAACATCGTGGGAGAAAACATCGCAGTTCTAAAACATCGTGGTACAAAATATCGTCATCGAAAATAAAGCGGTTCAAAAACTTCCCAATTTAAAACATAGTCGTCGAAAATATCGTGGTAAAAAATAAAGTATCTACAAACGATATACATGACGATAACATCGCAGACATGCTTTTTTCAGGCTTTAATAACTGTAAATGGATATTCCCATACTGATTTGTGAGCGCAAGGTGGAAAGAAGAATAATTTTTACTTTCACATTTTTTATTAACTAATAAATTTTTGCTGAAAAAGTAAGAAGGAAACTTAAGAATATAAAATTAAATGCAACTTATAGATTATACTTTTCATGAAAAATTACCAGTAAAAACTTTATAAAAAGTAATTTATTAATGACCTTTGTTAGTTAACTATGTCGGTTTAAAATTCTATTAAGTGTGCCATAAGTTGCATTAATATTCTATGCTTAAGTTTCCTTCTTACTCTTCTCAGCAAAAAATTTATTAGTTAATTAAAAATATGAAAGTAAAAATTATCCTTCTTTCCTTCTTGCGCTCACAAATCATTATGAGAATATCCATTTACATTTACTAAAGCCTGAAAAAAGCATGTCTGCGATGCTATCGTCATGCGATAATTTGTAGATACTTTATTTTTTACCACGATATTTTCGACGACGATGTTTTTAAATTGCGAAGTTTTTGAACCGCTTTATTTTCGACGACGACGTTTTGTATCACGATGCTTTGGAACTGCGATGTTTTCTCCCACGGATGTTTTGTAGCGCGACGTTTTCTCCTTGCGTTGTTTTCTCCGCGATGTTTTCGGCGGACACCGTTTGACATACTGTTCTATAACCTGGATGCGACATGGACACCTTTGGAAATTTGACTACAGCGATGTGCCTGTCTTTAATAGATTTTTGGTGTCTTTATTAATAATGTTCTTTAATAGTGGAAGGAGAGAGATAATGCAACTCTCTCACCAAATCATTTCAACGTAGTCCGTTGCTTCGAAGCTAAGTTTTGTCGTGTTGGAATTTCGAATAGTGCTTCCTTTGGAAAATAATCGAGCTTTTAACAATCGGCGCAAACCTAGTTATCTGATATATCTTCTTTTATCCGAAATTACTGCAAAGATCAAATTTTAGGAATGAGAAAATAAAGCATTCCACTGAATTTCTGGACTGCTGACTTCCAGTAAATTTTGAGTTTAATATCGTGATGTTCTGATAGTTTCGAAAGCTGTCTGTGGAATTTTTGCTACTTTTGATTTTGAACCGGAAAAGCGTGTAACGATTCAAAATAAAATGTATCAATAGTCTAACTTCATCAGTATGTTTTCCTAAACTCACGTACTCAGACTTTTCTGTCTTATTGAGTGTAAAAGCGGACCAGAATCCTAAGCTGCTAATCCTAAAATTTTGCCTCACTTAATGGTAAGAGAAATACCAATAGTATAACTGATCCTTGATCAACATTTTTCTGTCAACTTGACGAAAAAGATTTCAACACGTTCAAAGCGCACCAGTGGAAGTTTTTCAAAGCCAGCGAGTTTTACCCGGCCGGTCCACTGAAGCATATGTGCTTTGTGGTAGAAGCCTCCAAGTGACGAAACTGCAATTCATTGAAGTGCAGCTGCCCACTGACGTGATCTCCCAACGAGTAATTCGATCTGGTGGATAAGACCATTTCCCAAACCAGTATTAATTATAGTTCCTTCGATTCCTGCCATACTAAGTTCTTCAAGGAAAATCTCACGTATAGTCAGTCTCACGTGTAATCCTGTAGAGGGAGAAACATGGTAGATATATTCTGATCCTAGTACTGGTATGAGGGGAAAAACAATCATCTTTTTCAAGTCTTTGGAAATACTTTGAATTAATTTTTTATTACCATTTTATCATCTTTTCTTCCATCAAAGTACAGATCACGAAGCGTTCACTGAATAGATTGATTCTACAAATAATTTCTTTTATTAGGAGTTTTTCCTCTTCTTATTTTGTTTTGTCAACGACATGAGAATTTTATGAGTCATTTATTGCGTACATAGTAACATAATATTTACAATACAGTTACATTATATTTAATAATTATAATCACATTTTAAAATGGTTTGTAGCAAAAGTTAGGAAGTATTGTTATTATTTTTAAAAAATTTTGTTTTCTGAGCATTTTGAGCAAACAATAAATAATTTGAAATTACAGGTTTTAAACTTTTCGTGCTCTTCGTGCACCAAAATTAACATTTGGACCTGTAGCGTTTGCTGTAGCAGTGAGTTTAGAAACTAAAAAGAAATCGACAAAGAAAGCATTAAAATTTTATCATCTTCCGAAACTTCTTGAGCGATGCGCGAAAGGAAAATATGATTAGATTTGAAATCTTTGTTTTCATTTTGCTTAGCTAGGCGGCATGCAATTTTTCCAAGTTATAAGCAACAGAAAAATTAAAAAAGTGTTTTCTTCGACCCATGCTAGTACAGTCACATGATCTGAATGTCCACCAGCGACAGAGCGATTAAATCGCTGAACACTTGTAGTCCCGAAGTGGGTTCGATTCCAGCCGAACTGGTTTCAGGCATGGGTGTTTTCATGGTTTTCCCCATGTGTAACATGTATACGAGACAGTTTCTCCCAGAAAGTGCTCCATGAAGGCACGAAGGTATGTTTTGCTATAATCAACTAAGCCAAACATAATCTGAATGCAATGATTTTTATGCAGCTAACCGAGGTGTGAACATCCCACCTGCGGTATTTCTGGGCTTTTTCTTGTGCTTTCAATGTAAAATTAATTTCATCTATCTCAGAATAATCCTGGACCGCGTTTCGTCAAGACCCATTCTCACAAGAAAATTAGGTAAGCAAAATTTACGTGCTTTTGTTCATTTTGCGGCTTCGGCATTTGTATGATTTGGATTTTATAGATGTACCCCGCCCTCAGGTGCTCACTTTTTGTGAGTATTT